TTCTTTACATGTAATTTAATTTTTGTAAATCTTTAATAAAATTCTAACAAAAAGGAGTTAATTATAATAAGATAACACTATGAAGTGATTAATTATTGATTTTTATAGTTCAAGTGGACAACACAAATGAGTCATAATTCAAAGAAATTTGTTATAATTTATCCATGACAATAAATTGCAAATTGCGCTACGTACATGAATGGTAATAAAATACAAATTACAAATGGTAGTCAATTTGAATAATTTTAGTTTGGAGTAAAATTGTAATAAAATCTTTTAAAAGTGGGGTGCCCAACCAAATAATTAGATTGCATTTAGAAGTAGTGGAGACTTAAATGCTAAGTAGCACTTATGTTATAGAGATGTGTCTTATTGGGCACTCCTATTGAATGACGACGGTTGCTTACAAGTATGTCTGACACTTCTTTAACGTATCTTAGTTTAAAATTCTAAATCTATAATATCAGACACTTTATTGATACTTTATGGACACTTCTTGAATGCTCCTAACACAACTTATGTCATAAATCTCTTTATCATAACAATGTTATACATTATTTGAAATGCAACTTGTGTACTAATATGTTTCAAAACATTATAAGATGAAAATGTGATACGTATTTCATTTTTTAAAATACAATTCTACATAAATTATATATTTATGCTTAAATTATGTAATATGACTTTATAATTTTAAATTAGTGTTATGTTACTCTCTTCTTTTTTTCTCTTTTTTTTCATCATTACTAATGAATAAATTATTCATATTTTTTTACATATAGTAAGTGTATAAAAAATATAATTTTTAATGTGCTGCATGTGTATTGTGTCCTATTTTTTATTTATATTTTTTTTTTCAAATAATCATGTCAACATATTCATAACTTGTTCGTGTTCTATTTCGCGTCCATATATGTGCCATGTATGTGCAATATTGTAGCTTATATGACGACTTGAGGGCCTTTTAGTCCAGCTGATCAACCTTCGCACTAAAGGGGGCTTTGTGAAAACTAGTGTTTTCTGATTTACATGAAGCCCTTAAGCAATCAGCAAATCCATGGACATTTGAACCTGAATATCTATATAACATATATATATATAGATACAATATTTGATGGAAGAAGGGGAGATCATTTGGAACAACTAGTCATAACAGGCATCTGGGAATAGAATTTCAAAAATACAGATACCAAACCCAAAGAATTCTAATATCCTACTCCATTGTCTATGCTCCAATACTGACTCAAAGCACTGATAAATTTTGTGTGAAAGCTCATGGGCCTCTTAAAGTTCATTCAATGACAAAAGTGTCATTGAGGGAAGACATAATAGCAATTTCAACAACTACTAACATGGTGGAGTCTAAACTCATTTAAACTCATCCAAGAGAGTGATGGGCTCAAAACACAGCAAAGCATTTGAAAAAGGAAGAGTTGGGTGGAGTCGCAAACCCAAAACTTACACCAGTAGATGAATTTGCACTGGGGCATGTCCGTGTGTGATGAATTGCCATGCAACTCTCCCAGCTTGGCATTTTTAATTTGATCCTCGGAAGCAAAACCAATAACTCTTCAGTGCTACCAATATTGGAGACTTGGTTGAAATGAACAAAAAAGTAATCCAAAAAAATTGCAATACCAGCATTGAAATCAACAATATATTACTCTAATGTCGCTGCATATCAAGCAAATTATTGGAATAAAAGCCATCTATTCATATGCAAGTAAACAAACAACGTAAAATTGAAGGTAAAACTTTCAGATACATGATTACTTAGCTCAACTGGAAGTTATTTAGTCTCTTCATCATATTCTGAATTGAAAATACACACACGCATGCACACAGGCATATTCTTTGCTATACAGACATCCTCATTTAAATGCTCAATCAAATAGAGAGATACCCAGGATCAGGTCCAATCATAATTCTATACAAACTCATGAATCAACCTTATGATATACACAAATTGTAAACTGGGTTTTTCTTTAAAGTAATACAACCAAATCTGCCTAAGTTTACACTAAATGAGGTAGTTGAAGGAAACAATTCAACTATAACTTCAAAACTGCATTCTTTATCATAAAAGAATTAAAAATAAATAAAAGAAACTTCAAGGCTACATTATTAATCATAAAAATAATCAAAAACAATTAGAGAGATACATAAAGGTAAAAGGAGAGGACAGAAGAAATATGCTATCCATTGATTGGATCTTCTTGGAAGCTGAATTTGACCCATTTGAAGTGTAATCCAAACCACAAAACACATAACCTACTGTCTTGATCACATATATTGCACCATGGAGCAACTCACAGATGGACATTCTTACTCATTGTAAGTTTCTAGAAAGAGAAAAACATTGTCTTCTTCCAGTGAGCAGATATTCCAAATTATCAACAGATCAGCACATTCATTTAGAAGTCTCCAAATTCCATATGTTAAGCTATAATCTCATTCAAAAACTTTCAATGATATTGAAATAGGCTTTAATAGGACAATATGAAAACAAAATATTTAAGTTTCACCTTTTCCCATACTCCTAGGCAAACTGCTTAGAAGTCCATAACCTATCTCTAAAAAGAATTCTGCTGATGAATGAAAATAATTTGAAGTAAGTTAGGTTCAAATATAACTGTAATTCAGGTAAAAAATCTCACAAAGTTCCAGAATGTGATAGAATCCATGGACATGGACCAGGAATCAAGGAACAAATTAATAAGTCAATACTAACATAAATTACAAGCTAAGAAACACGAACACTTCTAAGAAGGTAGTCTGTTGCGTCCTTGCTCATGGAACACTTCTCAACTCTTGTTAAACACACCTCAAATATGTCCCACTATTTTTTTAAAATGTTCTAGGCTTGAACACACGCTAGACACTTGAAGAACACGTGCACATCACTTAGACACACGTGAAATACAACACAACTTTGAATAAAAATAACTTGAAGTCCAATAATAAAAGAAAACCAATGTTAATTTATATCTATTATCCTCGTTTAAAATTTTAAAATTAGTATTACATAACATTTTGTTATTGTCTTTGAATTAAATAGCTTCATACGTGACATATAATAAGTGTTTATCCTTATATATTACATAAATAAATATATAAACTACACGTTTTGCACGTATCCTCCAAGTGTCGTGTCTTATATTTTTTGAAAATTTACGTGACAGCGTGTCGACGACGTGTCACGTGTCCATATCAGTGTTTCTTAGATTACAAGAATCCTGTTTAATTGACAGCACATTTTGTTACAAATTCCCAAAATTTTGAACATCATTTCAACATTTTGAAAATCAAATAACAATCATAACAATTTTTAGGAAGAAAACAAAGAGGACTCCCCAATAACACCCTCAAATATATATCGATCTTCTCAAGAACCATCATGACTCCCAACGTTGACATCTAAAGAGACATACTAAAATTTCCAAGGAAACTTTCCCAAACTTTTCTTCTATTTGAAACCTTCACTACAGAAATGAAATGCATTCCAAATATTATCAGTAAATTAAACCAACTTTTAGTCATAAAAGTTGATTTCTAAAATTGTTCTGTATGTGTTTCATATTTTGAAAATAGTGTTTGAATTCAGGTTAGTACTGATGGGATAAATTAGATCATCATCTATACAAAACAAAGGCTCAAGGAAGTTAAGAATCTGTGAGATCCTAGTACATTGTATTAAAACAGCCTTGCCGATTTTGTATGCTTCTTTTCTATACTGCAGTCTGTAGATCACTAAATCACACAAGTAAATTACTTTGGGGAAAAAAGAAAACTCATACCTCATCTAATTGCCTAATATAAAAGAGTTGGTTGAGTGGAAAAAAATTACAGAATCGACTTTGGTTTAAGATCATTGCTTTGGGGGAAGCCAGAATTGATGTCTCCCAAAGACACTGCACACAGACTACACCGCTGTCTTCATCTTGTAATCATAAGTAACTGGAGCTAAAAATGATTTCCATAACTGCTTCACAGTGTTTTTCGACTAATCTGCTAGATTAGGCCAGAACTTTTCCACGCTGAGTTTGCAAATAATAAGTCCATTACATTTTCAACTAGTGATCCTGGTTTAAGACTCTAGGAATTCAATCTCAACAGATCATTGATTCTAACCTATGCACAAATTTCCCAAAAGCCAATAACATAACATAACATAACATATAGCATAGTAGACAATTTAGCCACTAAAAACTACAAAGTCTGCAGAAGGATTTGTTAAGTAATTAATAATACAAGACGAAACCCTTCACAAATTTAAATGTCTAAAAACGAAAACCTGATAATAGTTCCATTCAACACAGGCCTGAATACCCCACATGAACAATATCACAAACTTAAAGCTAGGAAGGCTAGCATTGAAAAAAAGAAAAAAAGAAAAAAAGTGAGAATTGAGCCAACATTAAGCACCCAAAGATACACATCCAATATCAAATTCTTGTTAAGCCAGGGAAAGCCTAATAAAAAATAAAAAAAAAAATCATGTTTCAGGCCAAAAAAAGAATATTTTACTTTGATCACCTTTTGAAACGAATTATTAGGTCATCGAAAAATATGGGAAACCCTTTCCCTCACCCTTTTCCAATTGCCAAATCAGATTCCTAACATCCTAAAAGGACGGCACCCCTTTCATAAAAATTAAAAATAAAGAACAATATGATGGAGACATCAAGCACATGAAGACTAGGTTTTTGGAAGGCAAGACTCAATCATTGACCAAAAGAAAGAATGGTGAAACTCCATCTCGTATTTGCAATATTTCATCATCCAAACCTATTCATCCTTAATTCTTGTTATGCCTCTCTATTGAAAGCTCAATTGGAGCTCTAATGATATTGTAGCAGTCATGACTGCAACAAATAGAGACACCACAACCACTGGCTACAAAGCATAAAATTATTGGAAGAAAGCCACTTATGTAATGGAATTCCATTGGTCTAATGCATTCCCTAATTCCATAGATTTCAAGGTTCTGTTCTAAAGAATCACAGTGCAATTTCAATCTATCTTGATCAACTTTCTCTCTTCAAAATAAATAGCAAATATCAATAGAAAAAGGAAAAGAGAATCCAAAGAAATATGCAACGAACTACACTATTCATAAGGGGGAAAAAAAGGCTCTAATTAATTACACAAAAAAGCTCAAAAAAGTAGTCAAAATTTGAGTCAAACCCAAACTCTCAACACATAGCCCATACCCATTGATTCAATCAAACACCAATTGCCCACAAAAGCTTGCAATGGTCATCCCCAATCATCGAACCGGTGGCCTCGGAATTCAGTCGAACGGTGGATCTACAAATTGGACAATTGGGCACTTTGGTTAGCCATTTGTCCACACAACTCGCATGAAACATGTGGTGACAATCCGGGAGAGTCAAGCACCAATCGCCATCTTTGAAGCAATCCAAGCACACGGCGCAGTCCACCCAGGAAGTTCCGGGCAATCGGGCGTCGTATTTGAGCCTCGGCAGGCACCTCTGGAGGTCCTCCGCGGAATACCCGGCTGCCGACGTGGCGAAGGAGTCAGCGGGGAATTGGGTATTGGAACGGCGGCGGAGGCGGTGGCGATGGAGGACGCCGCCGGCGAGGAAGAAGTGGATGACGGCGACGGCGGCGATTCCGAGGAAGAGGAAGAAGAGGGAGATGATGAGGACCATGATGATGGATTTGAGGAGGAGAGAGAGTAATTGGGGAGTGGGTTTTGGTGGCGGTGGTGCTGGCTGAGATGGGTTGGGATTGGAATTGGGATTGGGATTGGGATTGGGATTGGGGATTTCATGGTGGTGGTGGTGGAAATGGTTGTTGTTGGCTGGCATTACCCTGAATTAGGTGCTGAAAATGGTTTTTTTGAGGAGTTTATGATAATTCAAATTCTATTAGAGGGATCAACTCGAACATAAGGCTATATATGCATATATCGAGAGAGTGGAGAGAGATTGGGGGAGATTTGCAGAGATCCAGAGGGAGAAGGAGAGAAATAGAGAGAGGAAGAGGAGAGGGTAGGTAGGTTTTGGGGGGCGGGGGCGGGGGCGCTGCGTTTGTCGGTTTTGGCACTTTTGGATAGGCATGGAAAATAAGTAAGTTCAATAAATCTTAGGAAAATACATAAAATCTTAGGAAAATATCAATCGATCTTATTTCACTTATTATTGAGCCTTTTTTTGGGGACGAGTCAACTTTTTGGCATAGTTTTTTTAATTTTTTAATTAATTTAACTTGATTAAATTAGTTTTATTTAATTTTTTTATTTAGATGAAATGATTATAAAAAAAATAATAACAAAATAATTATAATTTACGTATGATATTTTATGTTATTGACATACATTAAATTATTTTGTCTTTTTATATTTATTTAGTCAATTTAACTCTTGTGAAACGAAACTTTCACAAAATATTTTCAAAAGGTACATTCTTCCATAATGAATAACAATTTAATATTGCATTAAAAAATCATAATTCACAATAAAAAAAATATTAATCAATTTTATCTTGTTTTGAAAATTATTATTAAATTATATCCCATCGCAATCAACGCCGTTAATGAATATCATAAATGATATTATGACTTTCATAATTGTCAAAAATTACAAATTCTCCCCTGAGGTTTCATAATTGTACATTTTACTTTAATTTTATTTTTCTCATTAAAATATGAACCAAAAATTTTACAAATAATTTATTTTATATAAAATTTTATAATAAAATATTTTTAATTATTGACATTAAATGAATTTTTATTAGTATAAGATGCATCAACTATTTCAAGCATTGACAAATATATAAATTTGCCATAGTATTATGTTTCATAAATCTTTAGAATTTTATATAATTAGCCTTTTTGGATTGATTACATAAAAAAAAATCAAAATTTGAGATAATATAAAATAATGTATTTTATATTATAATTGTTTCGATCTAACTATTATTTATGATTTTTTAGTATAATATTAATAATTTTTACAATTAAAATCTTTAATTTTAATTAAGTTAAAATTATTTATAAAATTGTTATTCATATTAAAAAAGAAAGATAAAATTGAGATACCATACACCATTATGAAATAATGGACTTTTTGAAACATTTTATGATAAATAGAATTTTGTTGTTTATATTAAAACTTGATAATAGTAATCTTAAAAGCAAATAGGACTTATTGGTATTTTTCCGTAAAAAGAATTCACACGATCAAAAGTTAAAATCTCATTTAGGAAAATCCTATGGTACCATTTGCCCTCTATTATAAATTGATATAATTTTGTCATAAAATTAATTATAAAATGTATAACCTAATTACAAATTGATAAAATAAAAAAATGTCATAACTAAATCACAAACTTTTATTTCATTAATCACAAAATTTTAAACATTTTATTATGCTAATTTGTGGTAAGGTTACGTATTTTGTAATTAATGTTGTGTAATTTTATGATACACAACAAAATACGTAACCTTACCACAAATTAGCATAATAAAATGTTTAAAATTTTGTGATTTTCCCTCATTTATGATTAATTTTTTTAATAAAATAATTGTTTTAAAATTGGATTATAAATGATTTCTTTTTATATTCTTGTTTTTTATATTTTTTTACTCTACCTCATGATCCTTCTTTTGGGTTTATAATGATAATTCAAATAGTTTATTTATTAAACTTAATAATAAAGGTTAGTTATGTAAAAAATTAATTTTATTAGAATTACTATATATATATGAACAAATTATATTTTGTTTTTGAAAATAAACAATAACTATGAGTTAAAACTTAAATCTTTCATCTACAAAACAAAATATAATTGTTAATCTATTTATTGATATCTAATTAAATTAATTTTTTTGAAAAAACAATCTCAACTGCCAAGTTGATGAAACAAAGGATTTAAATCATAATTGTGGACTAAAGTGAAACCAACCAAATTAAATATAAGAGAGAGTGGAAGATAATGATATAGGGAGAAATCATTTCTATATAAACTGTTACATGATCAAATATAATCTTCGTATAATTTTTTTTTATTTACTTCTAAGATTGATTTTTCTATATAAATATACTTCTAAGATTGATTTTACTTCTAAAACTGATTTTTCTATATAAATACAAAAACTGCTTAAAAAAAATTGATTGATATACAAATATCAGATGAAGCACACAGTTTTCCAAATTTGGAGTGTTTTATATGAGCTTATCAGAAACTTTGTACGGATTCTAACGAAATCTAGAGAACTATATATATTATTTATATTTATTTGGGGGTGTGCAGTATAATATACTAGTGGTGACCTGTGCCATGACACTCAAGTTTAAAAAAAAAATCACATTCAAATTATTTGGTGTTCTTGATAATACTTACGTTTTTAGTTTTTAGTTTTCGTTTTGTTTTTATATTTACAAAATTTTAAAAATTCAAATAAAAACTTATTGTAAATTTTTAATTTATAAATCAGTGGTCAGTTTATAAATTGACCAAAAAAATAAACTCAAAAATGTGTTTCCGTGTGATTTTGAGTTTGAGTTTTTTTTTTTTACCACGCCAATACTAGCCACACCCCCACCATTTCCACCACCGTCTTTGCTACCACCCCCCCCAATCATACTGCCACCTACCAACCACCACCACCCATCCTGCATCCACCTCACCATCACACTACTCTCGCCACCACCACCCACCACCCACCTACCCCACACCCCACCACCCCAACCACCACTCACCACCACCTGCCACCACCATCTCACCACCGCACCGCCGCACCAACCACCAGCCCCCTGCCACCCACCCGACACCATTTGCCACCACCACCACTCGCTACACCCACCACTGTCACCCACCCACCCACCGACCCGCAACCACCACTCGCCGCCCCCACCCCACCACCACCCGTCACTCCACCGCGCCACCACCACCACTACCACCCACTCGTGCGACCCGCCACCACCACCACCACCGTCATCCGCACCCACACTACACATCACCACACCACCCTCGCTACCACCCGCCACCGTCACCCACCCACCAACCATACCACCCACCACCACCCCCCCCCCCTCGCCACCACCACCCACCACCCACCGTCACCCACCCACCCACCACCACCCACCGTCACTACTTTCCACCACCGTCTTCCACCGCCACTTGCCACCACTTGCTATTTCTCATTCTTTTTTATATTTTAAATTTTTTTTAAACATTTTGTCAATTACCAAACGCGTTTGTAGTTTATGTTTTTCTAAAAATAAACAAAAATCAGTTTATAAAATTTTTGTAAATATAAACTGAAAATGTAAACGTTACCAAACAACACTTTTGACCAATGAAATCAGGAGAGATGTACTTAATACATATAGTTCATGAATTAATTTGAAACCAAAAAATAAATAATCATGCATTCTATACGTATAGCCTCAAGTGTAGTCCCACTTTAAACTTGATTCAACATCTCTATATGCATTTTAAATCTGATTATTTCTTATTGCCATAGCACACCACTATAAATGCATGATACTTGAAAAAGATCAAAAGATCCATTTGCAAATCCAGTTGATCTTTCAAAGGGAATTACAGTCTTACAAACAAATATCTTTCGAATGGAACCATTTGATCTTTTCACGTTAAATAAATTCATTCTATCCATTACATTATACGCATACATATGTGTATGCATTTATAGTATTTAAAGAAGGAATGACAGTAAAAAGAAAAGGCTTTTTACGTTAGATACGAGTTGTCTCCCAGTTGTGCAATCCATATCACCCACTTGTATATTCCATCACCTAACAACCTGTAATTCAAGTGATGAAAATGAGCAATAGAAGGGAGGGGAAATCAGCGAAACTTTTAAAGAGGAGTGGAGAGTGGTATTTTAAGAAGAGCCATTTGAGAAAGTAGTGCTTACATACCGGCAAAGAGGAAAGACTAAGTGGGTGCAGTGGCTATTGGGCATGTCAATATCGTTAATTCCTCTGTATCAAACTGATAAACATCAA